TTTCTTGTGAAAATTCATCGTTGCTGATGTTGATTTACCAATCATCGGTTCGGATTTTATCGCTCATTATCATCTTTTACCGGATTGTCATAATAAATTCATCGTTGATGGAACCACTGGACTTCAAGCTCAAGGTTTATTGCAAACTTCTTTGCAGTGTAGCGTTAAAGTTATCAACGATTCTTCGTTGTTCTCTGCTCTTATTTTTGAGTTTCCTGAAATTACTCGACCATCTGGATTGCCACGAGAAATTAAACACGAAACCGTTCATCACATTCGCACGACTCCTGGACCTCCGGTTACAAATAAGGCTCGTCGGCTAGGTCCTGAAAAATTAAAAATTGCTCGAAAAGAATTTGACGACATGTTGCAAGCTGGTACAACTTGTCCATCCGAGAGCTCATGGTCTTCTCCTTTACACTTAGCACCAAAAAGTGACTCAACTTGGCGTCCCTGTGGAGATTATCGCGCGTTGAACGCTCGAACTATCCCAGATCGTTATCCTATCCGTCATATTCATGATGTTACGTACTTTATTGATGGTTGTACAATATTTTCCAAGATTGATTTAGTAAAAGCTTATCAACAAATTCCAGTGGCTGAGGAAGATATTTGCAAAACTGCTATAATCACTCCATTTGGACTTTTTGATTTTCCATTTATGACGTTTGGACTTCGAAACGCCGGTCAAACTTTTCAAAGGTTCATGGATGAAGTTTTGCACGGTTTGGACTTCTGCTTTGTATATATGGATGACATTCTCGTTTTCTCTCACTCTAAAGAAGAACATGAACGACATTTGAGAATAATCTTCGAACGACTCGCAAAATATGGAATGGTCATCAACATAAAGAAGTGCATTTTTGGAGTTTCTGAGGTAATTTTTATTGGTTATACCATCTCTGCCGCTGGCATTCGAGCCCCAGAAGAGCGTGTTCAGACAATCAAGGACTATCCTTTACCAAAAACAGCTCAAGGGCTTCGACGTTTTCTTGGCATGTTAAATTTTTACCGCAGATTCATACCTCACACCTCTGAATATGAAGCTCCACTACACGACGCAATCAGCAATCCACTCCTGAAAGGCTCTCAACCGATCAATTGGACACCTGAACTTGAAGAAGTTTTCATAACCTGCAAAAACTGCATTTCTTCTGCTTCACTTCTTGTTCACCCTCGCATTGGTGCACCACTTGGTTTATTCGCAGATGCTTCGAATCATTCTGTTGGCGCTTGTCTACAGCAGCTTGTTGATGACGTTTGGCAACCACTCGCATTCTTTTCAAAGAAAATGTCTTTGAAAGAAAGTTCTTGGCCTGCTTACTATCGTGAACTTCTTGCAATTTATACTGCAATCCAGCATTTTCGTCATTTTTTGGAAGGATATTCATTTACGATTTTCACAGATCACAAAACATTGATTTACGCTTTTCAACAGAAACGTGAAAAACTTCCACCAGTGCAGCTCAGACAACTCTCGTTTATCGCAGAATTTTCAACTGACATTCAACATATTAAAGGTGTCGATAATGTCGTCGCTGATACTCTTTCACGAATTGAAGCTGTTTCTGCACCACTTGATTACGAATCGCTAGTTAAATCTCAAGAATAAGACGAAGAACTGAAGAAGATCATTCAAGAAAACTCATCTTTACGCATCGAACGTGTACCAATTCCTGGATCCTCACTTACTGTGTTCTGTGACACATCCACAGGAAAATCTCGGCCTTTTATCACAAAATCATTTCGTCGTTGCATTTTCAATCAATTGCACAACTTGAGTCATCCTGGTGCCAATGCTTCGCTCAAGTTAATTAACAACCGTTTTATTTGGCCTTCCATGAACAAAGATTGCCGAGATTGGACGCGTGCAATGAATGTCAACGATCAAAGATTTCTCGTCATGTCCATGCTCCTCTTGGAAATTTTGAAATTCCAACACAGAGGTTTTCTCATATCCACATCGATCTAATTGGTCCACTACCACCTGCACGTTCCTTTCGATATTGCTTGACTGTCATCGATCGTTTTACTCGATGGCCCGAGGTTTATCCTTTACTGAATATAACCGCGGATTCTGTAATTCACGCACTGTTCGATTGTTGGATCTCTCGTTTTGGTGTTCCTGAAATTGTAACTTCAGATCGTGGAACTCAATTTACTTCCCATATCTTCAAAAATTTTATTAAATCAATGGGTATTCGACATAACTTCACTACAAGTTGGCATCCTGCTGCAAACGGTTTAATTGAACGTTTACATCGTCACTTAAAAGCTGCGATAATGGCTCATTCCGACATAGACTGGGTTCAAGCTTTGCCTCTTGTACTTCTTGGGATCCGATCTGTTTTTAAAGAGGATCTCAAGGCTACTTCAGCTGAAATGGTTTATGGAGAAACGCTTCGTTTACCATGTAAACTTTTCTCTTCTAAACTTAAAAACAAGACACTCGACGATCCAGGCAGTTTTCTCTCAACCTTAAGAGAATTCATGTCACGCCTATGTCCGGTTCCAGCATCAAGGCATTGTCAACCTGGAGTTTTTGTTTTCAAAGAACTATCAGAATGCAGTCATGCCTTTCTGAAAGTTGGACCGATTTTAAAGGCACTCCAGCAACCATACACTGGCCCATACGAAATTCTGGATCGTGACAAGAAAACAATTACGCTCAAAATACGCAATAAACCAACGAAAGTTTCTATCGATCGGGTGAAACCAGCCTTTGTACTTCAAGATGATATTGTTTCAACATCAGTTCCTGTTTCTACACCTGTTCCTGAACCTGTTCCTGCTGTTAAAGCTGCACCCGCAGAACCTACATTAGTTCCCGAACACATGACGAGTTCCGGCAGAAGAGTGCGATTTCGAGAAATTTTGAATTTGTAGCCAAATTCTCTGCCAAGGGGGGTAGTGTGGCGGCGTAGCTTCAACAATCGAACGTGCGGGCATAGCAACGAACATTTAAATTGAATTTAATAGAGAGACGTCAATTATATTTGTCAAGAGTTGTAACTCAATAAAGTTATATTATAATTAAATAGGAGATATCAGTCTTTATTTCCTATAACAATTGCTTTTATTAAACACCCGCTCGCCAGCTTAAATTTTATTAAATTTAAATTGCATACATAATATTATATATACATATACATACATATATATATATATATATATATATATATATATATATATATATATATATATATATATTTATATATATATATATATATATATATATATATATATATTTATATATATATATATATTTATATAAATATAAAAGTTGGCCACTTGCTGTCCTAAGGTTAGAACTTAATATTTTCGTAACTAAAATGAAATTTGAAGAATAGATCTAATAAAACAATCCTTAGGCTCTTTAAATTATGTACAAAATCTTCCAATAGGGTATAGAAACTGTATTAAAATTACCTTGAAATATATTAAATGTCCAATCCGTGACTGTGCCCAGCAAAGATTTATGAACTTTACTGACTGCTGTAAAAATATTGTTTCTGCAGTCATAAGTATAATATTTTTTATTTAATTTTTAGAAGTGTATACACTTATTAACTAATTTTTGTTTAAAAAAGAACCTTAAACATTTTTGTGACGAGCATTTTAGTTGATGTCCCTTAATTAAAAATGTCCAATCTGTGACGCATTTTTCACACAATATAATATTCACAACTCGTCAACGCTTTCTCAACAATACCTATTATTAGTTTGTGTCAAAGTTAAACAAGGGGAGTAAATTATTTTATGTTTATAGGTGTAAATAAGAAATAATTAATTAATATATGAGTGCGGACACTTGCTAGAGTATCAGTTTCTTTCACCAATTTCTTTAGATGTAAACCATTCTAAGTAGTTTATCCTAAAGCTAAAGACCGCAAAACATGTCAAACATGAAAATTTTCGTTTTATCACCAAAAAACTATATTTCGAGCAAATTTTAAACACACTAAATGAAGATGAACTAGTTAAAGGAAATTTTAAATTAATCTAAAAAAAGAAGATGAGACTGATATTTTAAATGTAAAACAGTAGAAAATAATCATTTAAGAAAGGATAATAAAACATGTAAATAAAAAAATTAAATTATTATTGGTAATGCCCTTTATTTAGGAGACACGGAAAAGAAAACATTTATTCTTCCTACAATGAAAATTCGTTAAAAAATACAATCTAGTTTGTATCATGTATGACAAGTATAAAATATTCAATACTTGATTAATATTCTATAAAAATAATATCTAATATATCTAATTTATAATAATTATAATTTTCTTTAATAAATTTACTATTTTGGCCAACTTTTTGAAAAATACCCATAAACGCTTTTATACAGGCCCATACAAGATAACTTTAGTACGTTTTAAAGCCCAAAGCGACTTTATAAAACCCGGCTTTGGGCTTTACAACGGAGCCCGTGTATATAGTAGCCATTTGATTCTCCTTTCTTTCTGCACCCTCCTGTCAAAATTTTTGATGGGCCTTAAAAAGTACTATTTATGCATTCATTTATACAAAAAGTTTGGAGAATTTTACTGTAGGGGGCGCTTCTGAGTATATATTTATACATTTATATTAACGCACCGTTATCAGCCCCTAAACTTGGCCCGACAACGCGAGTCCAATATATTTTTATAAATATACAGCGGCTTTAAAAATTACCATAAAAGCACTATATATACCATATACTTAAAGTATATTTTATTGTAGCAGTTTACTGATCTATAAATTGCTGTTTAAGTCCAAAGCGATATACAATTTGTGTCGAGTGCTCAACAAAGAATAATACTACTACTGTGCACTTGTCGAGGATACAATAAAAATGAACATTTTAAACGTAGGAGACAGAGCTGTCACTGATAATTCAATTATCAGTAAAGACTATCATATCATAGTTACTTGCCTTATGCAAATTCAAGTTTGAACAAATCCGATGAGGTGCGAATCCCGATACAAACTCAAAACATCTACACTTACCCTGCTGCATTATGGCTTTGATGTTCCTATTGGATGAGATAAGATACGAAATGGCAGGAGTGGTGGTAGATCTAGTTCGAAACCCTGGTATAACATCTCTTATGAAGGGTTACGTTAGTTTTACCGAGCAAGATTGTGTACGTCATCAAAACGCAGGTTGGAATCATTTGGATCATGTGAAAATTGTACATAAAGCTGAAGGACATTTTTAAGCATGCATCCCATTAAAAATCCTAATGGGGGTATTTGCGGACTTTCGCAAGGTTGTTGCAAATTTACGATAAGAGCTAGCACTAATCAGAAGTTTTACCGATAACAATTGAGTACAGACAACAAAAGCAGGAGAAAAACCCCAAATACGTCTAGACAAAATAGTTTGGAAAGTTGAACATGTCAAAGTGGATGATGAGTTAAACTTGCAGTTGTTATCAGTCATTGACAAGGGTAGACCCTTGACTCTTGATCACTGCCACATAAAAAACTTCAAAGTTCATTTGAACTCCGAGGTTTATCCCTACGATAATTTAAACCTGAACAAACAAACAACAGTATGCCCTGCTGTATGAGATGTATGTACGATTTCAACAGTCTTTCTAATATAAAGGTATGGGCGAGCCTTGTTTCACATTGGAGAAATGAGGAGTTTGAAACTGAAACAGACATTCCTGCAAACACCAGTGCTTACCTGTTGATTTTACACGATAAAGAAGTTAAATATAACCAGTACAGTTAAATTTTTATAAAATTTGTAAGGATATTTTAATAAAAAAATAAATATATATTTTAATTGATTTCTTTATTAATTACAAACCAAGGCCCAATGATATAAAAAGTACACATTTTCCATAACACAATTAAGGTTATTATTAAATATTTTTTACAATGGTATGATTTAAATATTTTTCGCATTTCCTTTAAACCAATTTTTCTTTTGATCTTCTTTAACCATTACAGGCATAATATATAAAATCTCAAAATTTCCTTAATGTTTTCAAATGTAATGCTGTTTATGCTACTGCTGCTTCTGTTCACATTATATATACCACAACAGTCTTCAATTTAATTCAAATTTTCTTGTTCAAAAACAGCTACAAAAGATGACTTTTTATTTTGTAGTTAAATGAATTAAAGTTAAAAGGAAGTTTAATAAACTAGTACACAGTTTCCTTGCTTTCGGTATTTAATATTAAAATTTCCTTTGCCCAAAACGGACCTTGTTTATATTTATTTAAAACCTTAAATATCAACGATAAACATTTTTTTTTGTTTATTGGTTTAGTTTGTTTTTATAACGTTTTAATTCTTGCACACAACTAGAGTAGTTCCATTCCAGCATGAGGTATTTATAATCGGATGTGTTTGTCATCGTGGGAGGTGGTAACCCCATCACAGCTGTGGTATTGCATACAGGTTTTGGAGTCATTTTTAACTCTGTATATTTTTCAGACCACATATTGGCTTCGCTTTGAAACCCCTCACTAATCATAACGCTAATATGTCTACTGGTAATGTTACATTAAGTCATCGATGGGGTGATATTATCCAAACCAACGTGTTTTGTGTTGGTTGCAATTATTGACAATTTAGGGTATCTCGACAAAAGGTTTTTAAATGTTAACTGCAATCTGCTACCATTGTTGTGTACTTCATGGTTAACATATAAACTAGCATTTTCCGGTGAATATTCGGTTTGAAAAATATCCTGCTTGATTTCACGGCTGCTGCCCAAATGTACTGCACCAAGAAAAATAACCAAACACAATAATTGCATAGTTATCTTAATTGCACAAACTCTAAAACTTAAATGAGGATATACCATTTAATTAAACCCTTATATACGTACATACAAAATTGATGAATAGGCAAATATTTAACTGTTGTATTCTCCAATGAAAGTCTTGCAGTTGGGACACGAGTGCTGTTTGCTCTGACAACTGTCTGTGCAGTATGGAATGCAACAGCATAACCAACATCAAAAAACGCCCAATAACAAAGTAAATAAATGTGTTTTGTTGTTTGGAGTTATTTTAACTGTGGTCCTAATTTAATGAGAACAATTTGGACATGTCACGTAAGCTGGAGACGGTTCCAAAGCCACAAATCCTCTGATGTAATATTTTGTTGCATGTTGATTTAGATAGGGTTGACCATAAGGTGGTGTTGCGGATGAGGGTGGATTTTGTTTTTCCATTTTTTTTGTTTTGAAGTCACCAACACACAGACAACGAATTTAATGAGAACTCAAACTACTCGACTGAGAAAACTATACAGACTATTTAATTTTAATATAAAAAAACTCCATCCCCCTTGTTTTGATAATAATATACACTTACAGGTATCATAAGCGGATTTCTTTTGTGTGTATGTGTGTGAACTTATGACTTTAAAGATCAGTCAACAATTCTTTTATCATCAAATGGACTAAGTGCAACTTTTTCTTGCTGGATTGTAAAAACCTCATGCCGCAAGGATACAATGGAATTTTGTATTACAGGTAGGCTTTTAAAATAAAAAAGTGCATTAAAATAATCCTCGAAAGTAATGCTTTTTACTGCTGATTTTTGAATTCCTTTCGCCTTTTTAACAAGGCCAAAGTTTGAGATAAAGCAATCAATATATCTAGAGGAATATTCAGCTTTTCGCAATTTTTCCACTTGCTGATGCATTTCTTCATCACTTTTCCTAACCTTTAACGTATACATTTTTGATCGTAAGCCAATAAATTCAGTCATTAAACTTCCATTATTTTCATCAACCCCAAAACTTTTTTATTCTTCAATGGTATTTGATATATATTATTGGGAGGATAATCGGATGTATACAATTTTTCAATATCAAAATTGATAAATCAAACTGTCAGTATAGGTATAAAGTAATTTTGCATTATCTCCAAATTTTGTCTTAATGTAATTGTAATGAAAATAATATAAAAAGGTTATTGATATATCCAAAATTGTCATACCCACATAAATCGGTTTGTTAAACTGAATTTTTAGTTTTTTCATCTCAATAGGTATCATGTTTTCATCGAAAATTTTACAACTATAAAAATTTGGTTGAGAAATATAATAGTTGGCACCAAACTGTCCTGACCACTTGGTAACCAATTTCACCGTTCTGTATTTCGTTACATTTTCAATAGTTTTTCCAAACACTTCGTTATTCATAAGCTTGTATACATTTTTTTCGAACTCATTTCCAGCTGCCTTACGTGGTTCAGTATTTAAATCTACGTATTTTTCAACCAAGTGGACTGTTTAAATTTTAAACATCTACGAATTTTATCACTTTTACACCCAACTGAAGAGCTTGTTTAAAAAATTAATATAGTGGATTTTATAGTTTTTCTTGTTATACAATGTAGTTAATAATTTCGGTTTGTTCAAGTCTGATGAAATTGGCGGCACCAAATGTTCAGGACAAAGAGGCAAATCTTTGTGAAGCTCAAAAAGTTCATGAGGATAACAAAGGTCAACCTCAAAAATTAACCCATATCCGCTCGTATTAGAAAGTTTAAAAATGTTTATGTCATCATGTTCAACATCTAACCACTGAAAATCCCCTGTGGGTAGAGCAAAACTCATCGCGGTCTCGTAAAGGTTATTTACATTGTAATACATTAGATAAGATTGAGGCTCATTAACCTTATAATCAGAACCCATGTATTTATTGTTTGCTTTAGCAAAACGGTTTAAACACTGTGAAACACCACCCCTTATACCACGTTCAATAAAATTAACCATATCCATGTCAGTTAAGAGTTCCAAACAAACATCAGTAACCTTAAGCATCAAAGGCTAAACCAGGAGATGTAAAATAATGAAGAGCATCTAACTTGTAGTTTTCAAACAAGACTTTTCAAAAATATCAGTCAAAAGTAACAAATCCGTTTTTAAATACAAATCAGCATCTTCTTGTAAATTTTTAATATTAAATTGATTCCAAACAGTTATAGCATGCTTGTTATCATCACCTGAAATGTCTTCATTTGAAATTTTACTAAAAAACCTTTCCTTTGGCGGTAAACTACTATCCTGTAATTTTTCCCAACTATTAAGGTACTCATAGGAAAATACTCCTTTTATCGTGACTAGTTTAAACTGATCTTGATCCATATAAAAATTTTTGGTTATCAACTTTTCAGATTCGTTCAGATAAGATGACAATTTGGCAATAAATCTGAACGAATCCAAAAATCTTAGTTAACTTTAGTGTTTTGAATAAATTTTGTAAAAGAAATATATCCCTCCATATTGAGTGGTAGTAGATTCATGTTACCCTCTACCTTGGTTAGTGATGTAGATAGGGTAAATACCCAGTGGGTAGGTAAATAAAATTTGGGTAAATACCTGGGTAAATACCCAAATTTTATTTACCTACCCAAAACTGGGTATTTTTGATAAATGCTTTATTATTTATACTTTAAATAATATTAAACTTCCCTATTAAACCATATAAACATAAACGTACTAGAATTGTCTCTGAACGCACTTAATCGTGGAAAACCGCTTATATTAATTGTTGAAATGCACACATAGACCAGGGTCGATAATTTTTGAAACCAAAAAAAAACAGTAGGGTGAAACCCATTGAAAAAGGAGAAGAATATAATAAAAATGAAAGGAAAAATAAATTACGGGCGATCTGACTTCGGGAAGTGGGAGGGGGGGTTTTAAGGGTAAAAATGGTTTATCTCGATTTCCGGCAAAACTACAAGTCCTATGGAAAAAAGTTAAATGGCAAAGTTCTAGGTAATAAAAGGATCTACAACTTTTGTAATTACAATTTTTTTACATAACCTCAAAATTTATGTGAAAAATTCAAAAAACCAAGTTTTAAATAATATTATCTAAGATCTAAGGTAGGTACTACTACAGTATACTTCACTATATTGAATAAAACTATTTATTCATTTCAAGTTATTTTTATGCAAGATTTAAATCGAAATACCCCTATAAATACCCTATTTGGGTAAATACCCGGGTAAATACCCTATTTGGGTAAATACCCGGGTAAATACCTGGGTATTTTACATCACTAACCTTGGTACTGGGAGCTTTAATTAAGAAATGACTGTCGTATCCTGTCAAGTTGTGAAAAATTACAGGTATGGCATGAGATTTCTTAAAATTCAAAATACAAGAGTTGTGAGCCACACCTCTAAACAAACCAGTAAAGGGATCATGATCTCGCACCTTCGATCCATTTTCTTCAAATCCTTTTCCACAGCAAATGCAAGTCGATGCCAAAAAAAAAATATCTCTTTCTTCTTTTGCATTGGAACACGATTTGATAGTAAAAAGTCGACATGTTTAGCTATCTTTTCGAGTTTATCAACAAACCACTCTACACAATCTTTAACAGTATAAATGTTAAATTTAGAAAAGCTATCATTATAGGAACATTTTAGATAGTAGGCAATGCTAAATGCCTCGTGTTTTGAATTTTTTCACTCTTGCGACCAACCGATACTCCCGTATCCTCATAATCTACCAAAATGCTTTCAATATCTGCATAAACAACATATGGAACCATTAATTGATTTTAAAAATTTTTAAATTGTAAA